GATCTGCCTGTTCTGCTCCCCACTCTGTCTCCATGAAGCCTCTCGCCGCCCCTGAGCCTCTGGCCTGTACCCCAGTTCTGTATGCACAAATAAATAAATCTTTAAAAGAAAATATCAACTCCATGATGGCAGGACCATGTCTGCCTGGCTCACCACTAATTCTTCCTCTGTACCTAGCAGATAATGTGTCAACAAATATTTTTGGATAAATGAATTAATGAATAACCTGAAAATGAGGAGACCTAGATTCTAGTTCCAGACCACCTGATAATTGGTAGATGAGCTAATCAGGTAATACCTGATTTATTATAAAATGTGCAAGTTTAACTCTGCCCACATTTTCCTTTAATTCCTTTGTGAACACTACCTTCTCTGATTGCGGTGTCGGAGAAGCATGTGAAACCAGTGCCGCATATTCCAGTCTCCTCTGTGTAGGCTGCCGTGCTGGAAGGGTCCCCATCCCCACTGAATGTGGTATTCTGGGCATCAGTGCTCTTAACATGATGTAGAAAATGGAACAGCTGTTTCTTGGCGACCTGGTGAATTAACCAACATTGCTGGAGAGCATTTAAAGATTACTCACAGACAAACTACAATTGGAAATGGGGTGGCCATGTGTTTCTTGAAAACCATTAGGATTTAATCTGCTTAAAATTGCACCTCCATTTTGACTGAGAAACAGTGTGGTAGGGAGGTTAACAGTGTAGTTTTGGGTATCAGCCTGACACCACTTGTCAGTTTCACAACCTTGGACAAGTCAGTTAACCTCTCTCATTCGGTGTCTTCTATAAAATGCAAGGAGTTAGGGTAAAATGCTGAATGTATATTGTTGCTGTAAGTCAACTGTTGGTGTCACATCTACACATAATAGATGCTCAAGAAATTTGGAGGTTGTTGAAGTGATTATTGTACTATTCCTATAAAGCACTATAAAGAAAGTATTCCTCATGCACCTTATAACTTGTGTTCTCTCTACCTTATAGTGTGGAATTTGCAAAGGACAGCTGGGAGATGCAGTGAGTGGGACAGATGTTAGGATTCGAAACGGTCTTCTAAACTGTAATGATTGCTACATGCGATCCAGAAGTAAGTACTCAGGGAAATACCTTGAAATGAGTGAATCCAATGATATGCCCAATCATAGTACCTACTTTAGGAATTCAGTTGTGTCTCCATATCAGGTAAAACTCCCAAAGTAAGGGAAAACTGTATTTACACTTAAGTAACAGGAATAATATGAAGCTACCCCTTATTTACCCCTTATTTCCTTTATGGAAGTTGCTGCTAATGTGTGGTCAGATTCTTTTTATCAAAATGTACATTAAGGGCCCTCCCTAGTGGCACAAGGTGTTAATGTGCAGCACTCTGAAACTAGCTGCAGCTGCTTCAGCAAGACTTGGATCCCAGCCTGGGAGGTGGCCCACATGGCACAGCAGACCCACTGCTCCTCTCAGCAGTGTACTTTGTCGATCAGCCTGTTCTGCTCCCCACACTGTCACTGGTGACTCCTCTCACCGCCCCTGCACCTCTGGCCTGTGCCCCAGTTCAATATGCATAAAAGTAAAAAGAAAAAAAAAGTACATTAATACATCAGCAGGTAAGCACTATAGGTCAAGTCAGAAATATTGTCTAAACTCACCATATTTTGATGAGATATAAGAAAGATACAAAGCCTGTGAAAAACTATGCTTTTGTTGAGACATCTCTTTAGAAGACCAGCACCATTTTGGGCTGGTTGATGTGTGGAGATTGGTTCCCCACTATTACCAAAGTAAGTATTCACTAATTCCTCAGGGACTACAGTCTTTACATTCAGGAGTTTCACGGTTTTGTTTCCATTAAGTGACGGGTTAGCCTCCTGTGTGAATCCCTGCACCCTTCCAGAATGCCTCAGGTATTATCAGAGTTTAACAAATATGGCCTTAAAGCTCCTCCAGCACCCACCCTGCCTTCCAAACCTTTCTGGGTCTTCGACATTAGTCATGTTGGTTTTGAGGGCACCAGGGGGTGCTGTTGCCCAGCTGCTGTTAAATCTGAAACTAGCCACTGGGCGGTTAGCAGCTGAATACTTTCTCACATTCCATACTCAAGTGTTGTCCTGCTGGTGCAAAACCTACACAGTGGAAGATTTTCTAAACAAATTCATCTGGCATAAATTTTTTAAAGGGACTTTACTGATGTGGTTTGAGATTCAAGAATGTTATGTTATTTCTCAAAGGAAAGTAATGTTCTTATGGTTTTTTTAAACATGGATCCCTAATTCTGCAAGACTAAAGACTTTAACAGTAAAAAAAAAATGAAATTAAATTATCATAATAAATTCAAATAAATACAAGAGTATGTTATTAAAATGACAGAGTAAAGTTACATCAAACCCAGGTGATTTGGATCTATGATTAACATTTAACTTGGGTCAAAACAATTCCACTTAGAATTGCTGTCTTCAAACTAGAGTGTTTACACCAAGAATTTTATACGTGTGTGTATATATAATATTGATATTGATGTTGTACTACATATTATATGTAAAGCTTGGTATAAATAATATTCCATACATACCACAAATATATATGAATGCACACATAAATACATAATATATATAATAATCATATGTATTTAAGCTGGATCTTTTCATTTATTTCATTTTGCATATCAGGAAGGAAAACTAAACCCTTTTCCCTCCCAAGTTTCAAAATGCTTTTTTTCCTACCATCTTCTATAAAATATACCTAGTCTCAGCCTCAGTGAACCAGTTGAATTAGAATCTTGAAGCCAGTAGAGGGCTCCGTTAGGTTGAGGGACTAGAGCCAGATTTGAAAAATGCTTACATCTGGGTTTCTTTCCTATTTAAAGTGCTTAAGGAATGCCAACAGAAAACAAACCTGAATCCACCTCTGGGTAACAGTGACCTATATTGATCCAAATTTCTATTGTAATTTGGGAAGTTGAATGATTCATTGTCACTTGTAAATTAGATTTTCAGATCCAGATCAGGAGTTTTTCTCTTATGTGTACAAATATATAGAGTGTTAACTGATTTTAATTCCAAATCTAAAGTTGAAAATTAGTATAACAGTCTCATAAGATAAAAAAATAACAAAGTGTGGGGCCTCCCTGATAGCCTAGGGGTTAAGTCTCAGCACCATGAAAGCCCACCACAAGGGCCTGAGTTCTACCCTGGCCAGGGAGCTGACCCACTTGGCACAGCAGACCTCTCCTGTCTGGCCCACTGCTCCCCTCAGCAGTGTATTTCAATAGATCCACCTGTTCTGCTCCCCACCCTGTCTCTGGTGAATTCTCTCACCACCACTCCTATGTACCTCTGGCCTGAACCCCAGTACTTCTATGCAAAAATAAATATATAAAATCTTTAAAAAACAAAGTGATCTGGATTACTTTAGGATGCTACAATGCTAAGTAGAAAAGAGGCTCATTTTCTGACTAAATAATCTCTACAAACATTCAAAAATAAAAAGTTATAAATAATATGTTTAGAAAAATAGGATTGAGCATAAAGATATCAAAGAACAGTCTCCAAAGTTAAGCATCGTAATCACTATGTATGTGAACACACACACACAGATGATGAATATGTGTGGGCTATACCTACCTGCCTCTGTGTTGGCTTTTATTTCACAAAGATAATCACATAGTTGTGGTGTTCTGTACTTATTTTTGTAGCTGTTATCTCTAGTGCTCTATCTTACCAATTTTCCCTTATACTTTCTCCTCATTCCTGAATGGTTTTTAAACAGCCACTTGCAAATGCATTGTATGGACTTAACCAGAATGGGTTGTTCACAGTTTTTTAATATTATTTTTTAAATGCTCAAAAGAACGTTCTTATATATCTTGATGAACATTTATGAGCATTTCCATAGAGTAACTTCTAAGCAGTGGAATGGTTGAGTTAAAAGGCATGTGTTCTTTAAATTTGCAGACCACTTGCTTAATTATCTTCTAGAACAGTGCAGTCTCCCTGGAAAGTGTGTAAGAGAGCCTCTTTCTCTCTCCATGCCAATGACAGCTCTGGATATCATCAAACTTTAAAAATGCTCACTCTAGTAGGTGGGGGCGGGGGCAAAGGGGGGGAAGCTGGAGTGAGAGAAGCATTGCTTTGATCTTTAAGTCTTCATTATAAATGAGTCTAACATCTCCACATGGTTATTCATCATTTATATTTATTTTTCAGTGCACTTCTCTATCCTGGCCCACTGATCTGTTAGCTATTAATTTGTGTGAATTCTTTGTTAAGTTAATGAAATGTTCCCTTTGTTTTATCTTTGCTGCTTATTGCAGTTATCATAGGTTTTCCTACTTTGTGGATTTTTTCATAGGAATGAGTTCTATTTTAGGAAATTTATATTTATATTTTCTTTTTTTTTTTTTATTCTGGATTTTATGCCCTACTTAAATTTAAACTTTCACCTTCACATAATTCCTTACCCAAGATTTCTCTTAGAATTGTTTTATGTTTTCTTTTTTACATGTAGTTATGCGATTATCAGGAATGTACTTGGGGGTAAGAAATGAAATAGGTATCCAACTTTATTTGTTCCCAATTAGTCAACTATGTGAATATCAACTTAATGAATAATCCTTCTTTTCCTCACTAATTTGAAATGTCAGCTTTCTCATAAATTAAGTCCTCATGTATATTTGGGCCCATTTCTGGAAATTTTATTATGTTTTATTAATGTAGTCTCCAATGTTATCTTTTATTATTATAGCTTCACAATATGTTTTAATACAGAGTAATAATGTCCACTGGCTCTTATTTTTTATAAAATTTCCTAATTCTTCTCCCATGTTTATTTTTCCAGATAAATGGTAATGTCATTTTAGGCTAAACTCTAATGAAGGCAAGACATGACAAGCTGAATGACCACTGTCACTAAGAATATTGCTCATTCCTTTCTTGGTATCATAAGAAAAAAATACATACCTTGGGAGTAGACAGGTAGAGGGGATAATCATTAGCTAATGAAGGATAAATACACTTGAGTTGCATAGGTATACGCCAGCTACAGTAAGAGTCAGAATGGAAAGAAGTGGATAAAAATAATTTTTCTTCCTTTTTATTTTATTTTATTTTGTTTTGAGTTGAGAAGAGATGGATAGATATGAGGGGTGGTTTACATCATAGGCATTCTAAGTGAAACAAAATAATTTCATTGTGTGGAATAATAAAACCTGAATATATAATCCCATTTTCTTCAAGTAACTAGTCACATTTAAATGAAATTTTTCTCCAGGAAGGGAAAAATAGCATAACAGCATATTAAAATGCAATTCCTAAAAGCAATGTAAACAGTTTTTAAGTTCATATGTAAATAGGAATGGAAGTGCAAAACAAATTACCTGTCACAAATCAAGCCATCGCATGTTTAACTTGTGCCATTTGTGCTTGGGTGTTGGATGACTGTGTCTTTGTGTCTGTTCCATCATTCATTCCAGTGAAACGCATTTAACACAAAATCCCCAGGGCCTTTTCCACTGTTGTGATTGCCTCCTCACAACTCAAGTGCCTAAAACGAAGGAGCAACTCTGAAGATTTCATCAGGAGCTGTGGATCCCAACCATCCCTCCTAAATGGGGCGCCAGATAAAATACAAGATACCTACTTCATTTTTTTCCTCTTAAGTTAGAATTTCAAATCCCTGTTTTTTTAGTATGTGTACGTCCCAGATACTGCATACTCGCAACTTAGTTTGAGTATAGTCCTACGATCATATGAGATATACCTTCAACAACTTTTTATCTGAAATTCATACTTTACACAATACTTTACACAAATTCACACATACTTTGTGTGTCCTGCATTTTCATCTGCTAAGTCTAACGATCCTATTTCTGCATCAAATGTCAAATTTCTCTTGTTGTAATGTCTTTATTCTTAGAGCAACCAAAACCTTAAGAAATTGAAAGAAAAGAGGTTTTCTTCCTTTTTAGCCACAAAAGACAAGGTAGAAAACCTGGTGCAGGTCATTTGCTTTAGGACGAACCACACTTTACAGCGCCTATGAGCCCCGGCCCGTGGTGAAGGTCTGCATTGCTAACTGGCCCTGCTGATGTCAATCTTGCTCATCTCTGACCATACTTCAAGTAGCACTTTAAGAAACAGCTTTATCCTCCTAGAAGGCAAAGATGTGGGCAGAGGTGACTGCTAATTTGGGAAATGTTTAACATCTGAAGTGAGTGGCATGCCTACTACAACTAATTGTTTCTGTTTTCTTTGTTACAGGTGCTGGCCAACCCACAACATTGTGATATTTTCAAGCCTTCCAATCACTCACCATTTCTTTCTTGAGAGTGTCCCTGGTGTTCCTTTAACAAAATCCCAAGTTCAGGGGGCTTCTCAGCATTCGTTAATTTTTGAAAGGCTATTCTAAAAGATGGTATTTGTCATTTTGTAGCACAGTGTTTGTGTTTTACCTGCTTTGGGGTTTTTTTTGTTTTTGTTTTTTGTTTGTTTGTTTTTTGCATTTGCGCAATTTATACAAACGATACTGAATTGTAATGATCCTGACTAATTCAAAAAAAAGTTCTTAGTGAGGTGAAACAGGCTTATGGATTAAAATTTGTTACTCTCTTCTTTGGGAATGAATGAGATAAATGATGCAATAAACCTGTTTTTGTTTTAGTAGTTCTAGAAAAGAAACACTTTATGTTTACAGAATTGAGCTGCAGAAAGTGCAAGATATGCCAATTTGAGACATGTGGTCTCTCAGACAGGAGCATACAATGAATGCATTTCAGAAACTAAAAATCATATTCTATAGCTCTGAGCTATAACTTGTTTTTTAATGCAGACACTAGTCTGATAATAGATACTGTAATCCTGAAACATTTGTGTTACTTACCTTTTGAGGTAGAAGTCATACCAATAAATTATTGCACCCTTAGTATTAGATTTGGTGTACTTTGGAAGTTAGGTCATTAATATAGGCCGCTCCATCAAATAAAGAGAACCTTGGCAATACTGGCCAGGCTTCCACTCTGGGACAGTGCTTAAGGGTAGGAAGAAATCAGAGGGAAATATTTCAATCATTATTTCCAAAGTTATTACCAAAACCTGTGAGGAAGTCTAATCTTCAAAAGAGTGGTGGAGCCATGATCACCACGAGGTGTTGGTTGCTTGCTTCTCTCCAGGCAGTAGATTCAATAAGGAATTAAGATGAAGCCTGTGGACGCTCTCATGGTGTGACTGCTGCTCACCCTTGCCGGCAGGTTCTCATTGAGGGCCTGAAGCCTGGGGTCTAAGGAAAAGCATTAAGTCCATCCTAATAGAATCCAAATGACATATGATGAGATAAGCCACGGATGTGGGATCAGCAAGAACATGCAGCTCACGTGCACCCCATCCTCTCTCATGGACATGTGCTCTCTTCCCACCTCCTCCTTCACAACTCTTTACTATCAAGAATTCTGGACCTTGCTCGTGGAGAAGTTTAGAAAGGAACTACGCAGAGGGCTGGTGTGCTTTTCACCTGTGTGACAAGTGTCAGCTGGCCAAGAAAGGAATCAAGTTACTAACAAGCTCACATGTTAGATCTCCAGGCTGTTCTCTTTAAGACTGGGGAAAGGAGACTATTTATTCTGCCTTAAAAAAATGGCAAGTTAGTGAAGATGACACTTTGTGAATGTAGACTATGGATATACTCCCACTAGGTTAATGTAGTCATAAAAGGAGATCAAGTAGATGTTTTTCTGTTATGTAAGCAATAATTTTTTTCTGTGTCTTACTGAGTATGGCTAGCAGTTATTTATTTACATGCTAGACGGTTCTCTGCATGCAGGTTCCATGTAAGTGCAGAAATTTCCTCAGCCACTGGAGGTATTTTGACCATTTTGTCATCTGGATGAGCTGATGTTAGACTGAAATTTATACATCATTTCATTAAAAATTGTGCCTTAGAAAATGCAAAGCTGTTGCACATCGTGATGAATTATGGATGCAGTACATCGAAGAGAGATGAAGTCACTTCCAAGTTCCCAAAACTTCTCAAGGAGGTGTTTGCTGTTTTACAGGAAAAAAAAATTTAAAAAAGAAAAAGAAAAATAGAAAAAAATTTAAAAGAAAAAAAAGTTTTGAAAATGTACAGATTAAGTCCAATATTTTGATTAACCACCTGCATGTTTTATTAAATATTTTGATAATGTGGATGTTTACACTTTGCATGATATTAGCAGATTACGTTACCACAAATAATGCACAAAACATGTACAATATGATCATTCATAACTGATTTTTATAGAATCCTTTTTACATGTGGAACTCCATCCGTTCTGTGAGGAGTATATGAATATTGCACATTCTCTTCTGGTTTCACAAACCCATTTATACTTATTTCTTAGTGAGACTCATTGTACATGTATTGAAACTAGAATCAAGTCAAGAAAGATAAAGCCCATTCTCCAACTGCAAAATGTGCTTTCCCATAATGAACAATAGTCACCAGCACAGAATAATCTCCCACGTTTACTAAATTCTAATTGCCACCTGTTTCTATTTATATTTGATTTCTATTTCATTGGGAGTCTGTTACATGGCTGCTCAGGCAGACTAGATTTTGTTTTTTCCAGTGCTGCATAGTGAGTATGATCTATATCTTTTCAAATAACCTTTGAGATCCCAGGGAAAAAAATGTTCTGCTCTGTTGAGCTACAATGTAAATGTGTTTGTTTAAAAAAAACAGAGGAGGCAAGTGAGTGATTTATTGCTCCTGAGAAAGTATATCTGATTCTTTTCTCATCCACCAAAAGCTAGTCCCTTCTCTTAAGGAAAAAATGGATAACTCTTTGTTTTCACTAGTAAACTTTCATGACATTTCATTCTTTCTATGTAGTATTATTAATGCAATATGTATTATAGTTATCTATACACAGTGTAAGACTTAAGGAGCTGAAATGATCCACCACATATGTGAGTCATCCAAGCAATGTTACTGTTCTGGGTGGGCCAATGTTCTACATCAGTTACACTAACCTTCATTTTAAATATTTATTCTAAAATGCCTCTGATAAATAGTACAAAAAATTAAAAAATAAAAACAAAAAGTTGTCTAAAACGCAACAGCTTTTATAGTAAATGTACATTTATAAATAAAATACTCAAATCAACCTTGGTTTCCATTGCCTTTTTTTGGAGGATGGGAGTTGGTTTTGTTCCTTCTTGCATTTTTCCGTCCAGGGTTGAGGAGCCAAATGACAGCAGTGGTGCAAATTTGCATATGCATAGTGATGCTTTTTTGAGGTCAAATATTTAATGCAAATCAAACTTTCCAGCTGGTTATAGGAGTCACAGAGGAATTACCCTCTATGGAAGGATTTAAGCTCTTTGAGATGAGACACAGTAAATTACAAGAGACCACGCAATAAATGCCAATGGAAATCATTTGAAACAACCAGAAGTGAACTAATAATAATATTTAATAATTTAATAAATATTTAAAATGGAAAATCAAACCAAGCTCTTATCGTCCCTGTGTCCTACTAATTGCACCAGTGTTGCCTCGGTGCTGGCTCTCTGTATACGTACAGATTGTTCCACTGAGGGCCTGTTTCTTGATGGTTGAACCAGGGAATATAGTGTGAAATGATGACAGCCTATTGATACGGTGAACATTCATATAAAATTCATATAGCTATATGTAGGTAGAGATACCTTGCTTTGCACTGTGTTCCTAATTTGTCAGTGGTAGTATATAGCAAGCAAATTCCTTGAAAGTTTCCATCACTTTGAAATGCAGTTTTCTAATTGCCACCCCTTGCCGTATTCTACTTCTTGCAAAGTTGAGTAGCAGTTAGTAGCTGTTTCTGTTTTCATGGAAAAGTGGATTCTTTTCCTTTCATAAGAGTGTTCGTACCTATCAGAGTAATTTTATATTTCCATTATTATTTAAATGAAAACCCATTCAACTAGAAAGCATTTCAAAACAAAGACTGTTATTCTAACATGTCAGTTGTCTAGAAAGAATATATTCATGAAGAAAAAAACAGTCTATCCAGATATGTTGAGCTAGCTGTCATTCTGTTAACTTTCTTCAAGACATGGATTTCTTCAGGGTCTTAGCCTAGACACAAAGGATCCTTCCCTATCTTTTGTCATCATTATCTAAATCAGGGATTGCAAACTCATATGGCTAGAGAAACAAGCCATATAATCTCATTATAAATAACCAGAAGAGGATAATAGAGAGTAGTGTGGACTCTGGAAAATGAAAAAAACAGCCTAGTTAAAGAAAGAGTCAGCTATCTGTCTCCAACCAAATGTTTTTATCTGAAATCTCCAGTTACTTGAATGTCAAGAATTCAAAACAACTTTCCAATGCAGTTCCAAACCAAAATTGTGAGACTATACAAAATATATCTGAAAATGTTCTTTTGCTCTTTGACTACCAGTTTGAAATCTATATATCTGCCTTTGCGTCTCTGTCAGTCTTTACCAACTTACTTTATTGTAAGTCATTTCATCTGATAAATCTAAGAAGTAGCCATGAAAAATGTTTGCTTTTCAGAGTGCCATTAACCATTAAATCAGTGGTATTGCTCAGATTTATAGCATTTTGGGGTAGCATTACCATGTATGATCATCAAAGATTGCCATATTATAAGCACTCTTCCATCAGTATGAAAGTACCCTTCATAGCAATACGAAAATTACAAACAGGCCAATAGAAAAATGGATAAAAGATATGAATAGCTATCCCATAAAAAGTTAAATAACTAAAATATAGATATATATATATATTCAACTTTCTTAGGAAGAAATGCAAATTGAAGTTATTATAAGATACCATTTTATACCTGCCAGTATAACAAATATTTACCACTTTAACAACAAGTGTTAAGAAGGTATGGAACAATGAAAATACACTGTTGGTAATATATGTTTGTAAACAATTCTGCATTATCTTGTGAAACTGATGAATTCTGCATTATCTTGTGAAGCTGATGAATTCCTACCCCTTAACACAGTAGTTTCACTTCTGGAACATAAATACCCTGAGCCTGACCTCTAAAGATGCTCTAGAATCTCTCACATGTGTGTTCGAGGAGACACAAACAACTATGTCCTTCACAGTGCTACTTAGACATAAATTTCAGTATTCCATGTTAGCAGTAAAAAATGAGTGAACTACAGCATACACACATACATTTGGATAAATTTCAAGAAAAAACCACCGGATTAAATTAGCAGGACACTGAAGAGTACACACAGCAAAATATCATTCCTATCATGTCCCAAACACTATAGTAGAAAACTAAGCTTTGTAATCTCTGGGGATACATAATATGTGATACAAAGAGCAGAGTAAAGAGGAATAAATGAATTCACAATTTGGGGTTGGAGTAAGGAGATGCTGTCAAGGAAGGGAGTCAGAAAGTATCAACTTTATTACCTTTTTATTTTTTATCATTTATTTATACACTCTGTTATAAATCTTCATCCTTACTAGATATTGCTAAACTACTTTCTAAAATGATAGCTTCAAATAATCTGACAACATATGAAAGGGTCTATTTCTCTACACTGTATCTAAAACTGGGCTTATTTCAGATCTTTATTGGACATCCCAGCATCACTGCTGTGAATTTGCTGTCTTCCTTGAATTTGACTATTTTACTATTGCATTGCTTTTCTTTTTATCTTGCTTTTTTGGGATCGTTGTAAATATTCTAAACCCTAATCTTTTATCAATCACATGTATTGCAAATTTTCTCTCAACTTGTGGCTGACCTTTTAAACATTAAGATGTCTTTCATTTGTCAATTTTTAATTTTAAAATAGTAAATATATGAATATTCATTTATACTTTATGCTTTTTATGTCTAATTAAGAAATTCTTCCCCACTTTAATTTCATAATGGCATTTGGCTACCTACTCTCTTAATTTTTTTTAAATTTTGAATTTCACAATTATGTCTTTATCAAATGAAATAGATACCTATCCTCTGACTAGTTACTTTCTCAGAACTATTTATTAAATAACTCAGCCTCCCCTTGCTGATTTGCAATCTCACCTCTATAGGAGATGTTTTGATTCTATTTCTGACCAATTACATTCCATTAGTCTGTTCATCTCTCCCAATAGCAATATTTCTTTGTTTTATTAATATGTTTATATTAAGTCCTGATAACTGGAAAGACAAGCTTTCTCTCTTCCCCAAAATTGTCTCATGGACTTTAATTCTTTAAACTTGAGGGTAATACCTAAAATGCATCTTGGGATTTTGATCAAAATTGAATACATAGGCTATATTTTTCTAAGTGGTATTGCTAGTGTAAAGAAAACTTCTGATTTGTTCTTACGTTAATCTTGCACCAAGCAACTTTACTAAATTTCTTATTAGTTCTAATATATTATAATTTCTCTTGGATTTACTTTGTAGTCAACCATGATCTACAAAAAAATTTATCTTTTTCAATTATGTCCTCATTTTTTTCATGCTATGTTGTTATGATATACAGTATGATATACAGTAAATGATGAGAAAGGACAACCTGTCTCCCATTGTTATTTACATATACAAAAAATCAGTAATATCCTAGGTAACAATTCAGAAATAGTTCTAAAAATTATGGTACATCTTTATATGGCATTCTGTCACTAAAAATGGGATTTTCAAGTTATTAAAATAGGCACAATAAAATATTCCATAAAAAGTCATAATATATATTAAGATTCAAGTTTTGTAAGTAGTGTATATATGTGAATAAATTATATATCACATGTTTTGTGCTATGTATGTCTTGACACACATATATGTATATATTTGTGTTATATATGTCTTACAGAATTTAGTTTCCCATAAACCCCAATATAAATCCACACCCATCCTACAGCACTGTAGAAAGTCTGTTCCTCTTCGCAGCTATTTCTGATGATCTCTAGAATAACCTAGTTGTTGTTTTCCACCTCTCATGCCCAAATGCTACTCAAGGTTTCTTTTTCTGTCACTTTCACCTATTTCATCATTTTTTCCATCCTTAGCCCCAGACCTGAAAGAAGCCCATTACTCTTTTATCCTTCAGCAATCAGCTAACAGAGGACTCTTGTGGTTTAATAAACTTAAACATGGCTTGAGGATAGTATAGCTAAGTCACACATCAAGAAAGAAAAATGGGACGGGGTGGGGGCAGGGGAGAGAAAGAAACTCTCAAATTCATTAATCGTTGCTCTTAAAATCCATTGGACACACCAGCCACCTAGCTCAAACACTGCATTGAGAAACACTCCTCTCAACTCCTTCTCCTCTCCCTGACCCTGTTACTCTCTCATTCTCTAGCCCCCTCAATCCACACCCCTTCCCCTATCCCTCAGAGAGCACCCTAGTGTCTGAACATGCCAAATACATCAGAATCAAGTCAGCTAATATCACAATGATTTCTTAGGGCTACAATGAGTGCATAATGAAACAACATTTATCTTACTAAAAATCCTTAACTTCTCTATCTTAAGAAACAGAGACTCTGAGTTGGACTGTCCAGTTTCAAATCCCAGTTCTATCGCATACTACTTATGGCATTGGGCAAGTTAGTTTTCCACTCTGTGCATTAGTTTTCTCTCTACTGCATGGTTATAATAACAACATGGAGTTATTGTGAGGCTTAATTTAAAATGGGGCATATAATATATAGAAAATGTTTCTATTAGCATCGAGATTTCCATATGTTAGAACAAGGAGTAATGGAGTACAAGCTGTAACAGTAGGTACAAATATTCAGGCTACAGGATAAAAAAAGGCCTTGCTTATCTGAACTAGACAGGTTCACCAGCATACCTCTTCTGAGAAGAGAATCTGTCCCTAAAATAAATCCTAAACAACAGCATTCGACGACAAATGCTCTAGGTCCTCAAAGCATCCTACAGTATGTACCCCAACTCAAAAAGAAATTAAATATTGAAATAAAATATGAACAGCAGTTATTTCTGATTTTTTAAAATTTATTTATATATTGAAGAACTGGGGTGTAAGCCAGAAGTGGGGTAGGGGTAAAGGGATTCATCAGAGACAGAGTAGGGAGCAGAACAGGCAGATCTACTGAAATCCACTGCTGAGAGGAGCCACAGGTGAAGACTGAAGAGGTCTGCAGCACCATGTGGGTCACCTCCTTG